GTGTGTGTGTGTGTGTGTGTGTGTGTGTGTGTGTGTGTGTGTGTGTGTGTGTGTGTGTGTGCACTGATAGAAATTTTAACTTGACTCAAGAACACCAATTGGAAGAAAATGAATTTCTTGAGCGAAGAGGAAAAATTCTTGAATCAAGATAATTTTCTTAATTCAAGAGAATCTATCTTGACTCAAGAATTTTTCCTCTCGACTCAAGAAATTCATTTTCTTTCAATTGGTGTTCTTGGTTCAAGACTTTTGCTCTTGAGTCAAGTTAAAATTTTTATCTGTGTGTGTGTGTGTGTGTGTATGTGTGGCGGTATGTAAATTTCTCAAAACTTCTGAACTAAGAAATATTTTGGTGTATCGATAGAATGAAAATCAAACAAAATGTTGGAAAAACATTGTGGTTTTTCAAATTACTGAATTTAGCAAAGTAATTGATAGTCGATTTCAAATCATTTTTGTGACTATCTATTGTTTATCTCATTATTTATAGACATCTGGGTAGAATTTTCCAAATTATGGCGAAAATAATAGCCCTCAGGAAAAAATTTTTAGCCAAAAGTTACAATTACTGAAATTTTCGATAACTAATATGATTTTTTCTTATGAGTAATATTTTTATCAACATTCTAAAATTGAGGTTCATAACTATCAAAAGTTTAATTGCTTCCAAAATTTAAATCTCATGATTGCAGTGAAAATATTACCTCTATTAGAGAAAAATTTTTTAGAGGAGTTGTGTGAAATTTGAATCTCTTAAAAAAATTCTCTTGTTTTTATCATTTAAACTAATATTTTCGCCATAATTTCTGTGAGAATTACAGCGAAAATCTTATTCATAATAAATTATATGACTAATCGTTGAAAGAAATTCAATTCTCTAAAAGAAAAGTCTCCTACACAGAAAGAATGGTTCATTTGAACCAAGAAAATGTTTTTCTTGGTAATTATTTTCTTGGGCGAAAAAAAAATTTTTTTTTGACTCAAGTGTTATGTCCGCCCCGTATATTTATTAAATTTATTTTTTTTTTTTATTCTTATGGCATGTAAGCCTAAAGTCCACACATACAAATTCATTATAATAGTTAATATAATGCGCGAGAACCGCAGTTGAAACCATCGGACAGATTAACCGACGGGGATTCTTGCCGCATCAGCAACAAGAGTCTTTAAAAACGCCTGCACAAGGCGGCTCCTGGTTCTCCTTTCAGTTAATTTTTGTTGCATTTAGTTGCACTTAACTGAGTTGATCCGCCCCAGATATACCTATTCGGCCGCCTAAGTCTTTGGTGCATTTAGCTTCGGTTTGACATAGCGTTATCTTAGATTTTATTATAATACTGTAAGTAAAAATAGCCACGATTTGCCGTGTAATCTTTAGTGCATTCAGCGGTTAAATCAGAATTATTTATAATCAATAATAATTCAATAAAATCCATTCATAGAAATTTGTTCTAGCACCAAAGCTTTAGTGCGTTCGGTTCGTTAGGATAAAGTTATATATATATATTTTTTTTTTGTTTTTGGTGAGTTGCGCGTTGTTTCCTCAAGGAAACAAATTGGACGTTAACCGTAATTATAAATTAAATTTTGCTATTGCTCATAAGTGAAAATAATATAAGTTGCTCTGTGTATTGCTGTTGATATTTTGGAATAAAACGTGACAAACAAGAACACTAATAAATTCTACATATTCGAGTCATTATTTAAATTAAGAATCAACGTAATCCTACCCGTAAGATTAAGTTCGAGTCCCGACCTGAGGTGCTAACAGCCGTCCAGGGAGGTAGGATCCGAAGGTTCATTAACAGTAAGTATAAGCTCTATTATCTATATTTGGATTCGCTTAGCGACTAGATCAAATTCGCACACTCAATCTCTTCTGAGGCGTGGTTTTTCAGTCCGGAAACTTCCCACAATCAAAATCTATAAAATTTGTATTCTTTACATTGTTAGTCCATCCTCCCCGCTTCACGCTACCGCATTCTAAAAACACTCGGACATAACAATTTCGAGAAAATGCAAAAAAAATTTTTTTTTTTCATTTTTTGTAAATATCTCCGAATTGGCTAAACCGATCGGTCTCAAAAACTAATCAGATCTTAACCTTGAAAACCCCCATCGATCGCCACCAAAAACGTCAGAATCGGTTGATGCGTTCGTGAGATATCGTTGTCGAAAAAAGTGTTTTTTTGTAGTAACTTCGAAATTTTTCAGCAGATTAATTTTTTTGTTCAAAATTTTTTATAGAGCTTAAAAAACTACATCGATCGCCACCGACCGCGTAAAAATCGGTTAATTCATTCAAAAGTTTTAGCAGTTTGAAAATTTCAAAAATCGTGTTTTATCAAATTTTGATAAGACTTTTGAGCTCGAAGAGCTCAAAAGCATCAAACAGCTACTTTTTTTATAGAGCCCAAAAAAACTACATCGATTGCCGCCAACC